CTTCGCTTGAGCCACTACTAATAGAGTGGTCAGACGGACTTTGAACTCTTGATCTATCAGTACTCGTAGTGGAATGTGTTTTTGATGCTTTTATCTTAAAAATATCAAGCTCCCTATTGGCAGCTAATGAACTATACTGATTGACCCAAAGAGAAGTACTCTTAGGATTGACAGCTTTAGAAATTGTATCCGGTCTAAAATTTTGACGAATACAAAGAATATAAACCAGCATCACTACCCAAACAATCAATAAGCAGCCACCTAAGGGGCCAAGAATGGCACCGATTAGCCAAAGTTGCTGCTCACTGCTTACGTTAGCCAGGCTATCATAAACTGAAGGGATTGTAAATGGAAAGGCATAAAATGAAAGCATGAGTAACCAATTATCAATATTTTATGTGTAAAGACCTAAAAATGCAACAAAATATTTTAAAAAATACGATTAAACAGTGATGATCTTTTAAATATGATGTTAGCTCATTTATCTGTAAAAAGCTTACATATAGAACATACAATGTCGGATTTTATCTGTAAAAATCCTAAGAAGTCATAAGAAAAGACAAAGTAAAACGCGTGGATAGTTAAGTAGAATATATCTTACCGCTTGGCATAGAAGATACCTGCATAGTCAGCTGTATTGCGAGTTCCTGTGTTGATAATTCTGAGAACCGCTGAGCAACAAGAGGTGCGGCAACATTTTTACCATTTTCTTGGGCATAAAAAATAACCAACACAAATTCGGATGGAGACTGTCGTATAACATCGATTAACTGGACAGAATGTAAAAATGGGAGAAAAAAAATTACATATTGAAGAAAGCTTTAAGGACATATAACTTTATTAAATTTAACATAATTAAATGTAAACTATATTGTGAGCACATATAACTAAATTTAATAAAATAATCTGCCATAGATAGTATGTTTGAACCAAATAAAACTTACTTGTATAGTGATGTTAGACACTGAAGCACTTCTTCTAATTCTAATATTTCGAAGGGCTCGAGTGTAGGCCGTATAATAAGCAGATGCAAGATTGTTCTCTAAATTATTTCTAAAAGATTCATTTGATACATCCAATGAGGTATCAAGAATTAGGGCTGTCAACGAATATAATGCCAAGGCAATTACTTAATCGAAGCCAAAATGGGGATAACCGATTGCTTAAATCTAAATTAGATCTAGATTGGGAAACTAATAAAAGCATAAAGTAATAGGTACAACCAAACCTGCATTTAATATTGTCAAAGCATAAACAACAAAAGCCGTGACCACATAAATCATTCGGATCATCGCCGTTACTATAACTGCTTTTGTCTAGGTTAAAAATATACAACGTAAATCAGACAGTAGAATTCAATTTTTAAATATTTAATAACTTTGTTTATGATAAACGGAGGGATGTTTACATTTTTAATCTGTGATTCTAAGCGCCTTATTTGTTCTCGTCCCTCATCCACGCTTTGCCCATATGGGATTTGGGCCTGGGTTTCGTGGCGGCAGGTCTGGTCCAAGGAATTTCAGAGGGGGCTGGAGGGGCAACACTGAAAGTTCTGGTCCTCCAGACTCGATACAAGAGGTCGGATGCCTATCTCATACATGCCAGGGGGACCTGGTTGTGAAGCTAACGCACGAAAACATACCATATACCAATGCCACTATTTACCTTGAAAATAAAGAGGAAGTAGGAAAAGTTGATGAAATTTTGGGGCCTATAAAAAATGCCGTAATGATCTGTTTTATTTATTCCTTTAGTATTTTACCATAAGATTATTAGATGTGCTCAAAGCTGACTCGTTTAAGCCGGGCACTAAGGTGAGGGTATTCCTTTTACTTAAATCTCGCCTAGTTCTTCATCGATCCTTTCAAAATGCTTACTCTCAACAGAATTCTCGGCGGGCCTCAACGTACGTGCAGACAAGTTGACTTTTGCTATCTGTTCTATTTTTTTCATTTTTACTTTCTTAGGCGGCAGGTCAGATGCGCGTGGTGGTCGGGGACGCGTTGGTCGTGGCTTCAGGGGAGGAGATAGAGGATCTTTCAGGGGTGGCGATCGGGGTTCCTTTAGAGGTTCTTTTAGAGGCGGGGATAGAGGTGGCTTCAGAGGCAGAAGTGGAGGTGGATTTCGAGGCAGAGACGGGGGTGGCTTTAGAGGCAGAGACAGAGGTGGTTTTAGAGGCGGAAATAGAGGTGCTTTTCGTGGTGGCGCCAGGAACGAGGGTGGCAGATGGAGTGGTGAAGGCAACTCAAATGAAAGCGGTGGTGATTTTCGCGGTGGATTCAAGCGACAATTCGAAAGTGGACAGGATTCTGGAACATCTAAAAAATTCAAATCTGAATAATTGTGCAATTTTCTGTGTCGTTTTGTATAAAATATTTTTATTACTGCCCCCTGTTTATTATTACATCCTAAGCCGCTGTACTTCTCTGAGCCTTCTTCATCATGACGTCCTCCATTAAATTTATTGATACTATACTTAATTATATTTGAGATTTTGTTTATTAACTCAGTCTACTAAATGGTGTTGATAAGTTATTGATGTTTACTCATTTATCATAATGCCAGAGCATCGTAAACTTGTTTTCTGGGTTAGTAAATTAATTAATCATCTTTTGGTGTAGTCTTAAAACAGCACTTTGTTTTTACAAAGCCTGCTGGTTTGGGGATCATGCTTCTTTAATATTCCTGTATCGTGCTGCATCTGCTTCTGAGTTTTGATGTACACATAGTTTAGCTTTAAATGACATCTGGGCTTACCGTCTTCCTAGCGTCAATTGCACTTTATGTTGGCCTCTTGTGTTCTGGTACAGAGCTTATCGTTGCGGCATGTTTAATAAATCTTTTGGGGGTCATGACGTTCAAAAATGGCTGGATTGACTTGTTTTCTTCCAGACGATTGGTAGGGTCGCAGTCTCCCCATGTATGCAAGTTGGTTGATATTGTTTTCGCAACATTGTCTTATCAGCGGTACTTAGTTGTATGCACCCTATCTAAGGTCCTCTGCCATATTAGTTATAATTCCCGGCATCGTCACTTGGTCTCGCCATTCTCAGCACCAAGCTACAGTTAGTTAAATGGACAGGTGATGCCAACCCCCTGACGAATTTTCTTTCGAACGATTATTCTATCACTCCTTGTCTTCACACATTTACCTACTTACTATCCTCATATTTGACCATCAGTGTCAGTTCATATCCAACTCTTCTAGATATGTAACCAGGACAGAAAGAGGAGTGATAGCACAAGTGTTTGAAGGTAAGTCGGTCAAGGGATTGATTTTACTTGTCTCTAACGCGTTGTAGCTTGGTGCTGAGAATGGCATGACTCACTGATGATGCGGGGGATTATAATAACTAATAGGGTGGAGGACTTCGAGCAAGGTGCCAACTAAGGCGCCCTGATGTCAAGACCAAGTTGATAAACTGAGGTAAATCCACTTCTTTACTACGCTTGCTCAACCAATTTAATTATTGCATTTTTCCGAGGAGGGTAACTTGAGCCTTGTTGACAGACAGACATGTGGTTATTTATTTTTCCATCGTAAGTAGCATTTCAAGATTTCATGTATACTAGATATGTCCTTCCCATTTCGTTTAAGTCAGTAGGTGGGCCGGTGGTTAACTTTTTTCATTGACATGTAGACGTGATGTTTTTATTGAATTTGACGGCCTTTCTTTCCCAAAAGGTATTCTAATTCGGGTGGGCTGCAGCTAGGTTCTCGCCTAGGTCTTATCAATAACTCCGTCGGGACTCTGACCATGACGGTGCAGCGCGTAATCCCGACACTCGAGTTACCGTTTCACTGCGTCACGAGGTATATGTGAATTTCAAGTCAGGCATTTTTCCATATCGAGCTTGCGGTGGGATTGTTGATGATGCAAAGTAGTCGAGTGCTGTGACAGTCGCTGTCTCTTGTTTTGGGTTTGCAAATGGGTTATCAGGCTACAAGTTGGTCATATGTGTTAAGTGTGCTCATCCTATCTATTCTAGGATGAAAGGCCCTATGACCCGAGGGTGCTCGTAGCATCATACCTAGTGTTTGGTGTCGAGATACTACACTGCAATATGATGGTTTTAGTCCTACTCGAGTTTTTGACTAGATCTAGGTGAGATGGAAACCGTAGTCGATTCTGGGTGGGAATACCTTTTGGCGAAGCAAGGCTTGGTGAAATTCAATGGAAGGGCCATGTCAACTCATCATCGAGTACAAATTCAACTGACAGTTCCTTTATTACCCTAAACTGAATAGGCCGAACGTCTCAGTCACAATTCTTAAGTTGCTGTTCGACGCTGATGTGCACTCTCACGGGGCTTGTCTCGGATCGTGATTTAATGACAGCGTCTTTTATGGTGATATCTTTTTTAATTCGACTACTGTCTGCTTCGCATACCCTGAGTGAATGTTTACCCCCCTCAATGACTGGCTTTTTCCTAATTGTCTTATGGTGCAATGGCAACTCTGCTCAGGATGTTCGTAGCTCGGGTTTGGCCTTCGTCCCCTCCATTGGTTGATGTCGGGTTAAAGCACATTGGTGTTTCGCTCCGCAAGTGTACAAGAATTCACACATATAAGCTTACAACTCAGAAAAAATAAGATGTGGGATGAGATGTGATTCCTCTTATCTTTAATGCTACTTGTTGGCTACTTTTATGTGCATTAAGTATTGTTTCGGGACTACCAGTAAATCAGTAATATGAGGTGTATTCACCAAATTTCGTTTGAGGTGATGAAGGACTGGTAGAAGAAGAATTTTACCACAATTATATGAGTTCAGCTGATGTTTTCATTGAATTTTACATAGCCTTGCTTTCCCAAAAGTTGTTTTCATCCAGAGTGGACTGCAGTTTCGACCTCGTATCTTATCAACACCCTCAGCGGGAGTCGAACCGCGACAGTGAAGGATGGGAGCTTGACACACTAACCACTCGGCCACATTGCCACGAGTACCCTTGAGTCACAGGGCAGATGTGAATTTCGACGAAAGCCGGGCCTTCCTTGAAAATTCATATTTGTCCTGTGACTCAAAAGGCGCTCGTGGCAGTGTAGCCGAGTGGTTAGCGTGTCAAGTTCCCATCCTGCACTGTCGCGGTTCGACTCCCTCTGAGGGTGTTGATAAGACTGATGCGAGGTCGAAACTGCAGTTCACTGGTGCCTGGATGAGAACAACTTTTGGGAGAGCAAGTCTATGTGAAATTCAATGGAAACGTCAGCTCAACTCATATAGTTATGGAAAATTCTTCTTCTACCAGTCCTTCATCACCTTAAACGAAATTGGGTGAATACATCTCATATTAATTTGTGCCCACCAAATCTCGTTCTTGACACTACTTGATGACCCCCTATCATGAATTCTTTTTTGACTCAGATTGCTGTTTGTTAATTTGTCATGTTTGTTCCTTATCACACTTCAGTAAAGCCTCTGGTTGGTCATAGCCAGGTCTATCACATCTCCCACTTATGGTCATTAGAGGTCACTATTACTAATCACAGGGTTCTATAACGATGGCGTTACTGGTGGCCCCGTTTATATTTAATATGCCACCGTTTTAGCAACTAAGTGCTTTTCCTATTACGAGCAACGTGATATTTTAACGCAGCTTAATGACTCAATTGAACCTAGGATAATATAGTGGAAATTGTAGAAAAATATGTCTCAATAAGGTTGAACTTACGCCACTAGCGGAT